TGTGAAGGGTCATTTTTCAAAATTTCGCTACTCTGAAATCTCAGTGTCCAAGATTTAACGAGTCTGAAATACTCAGGGTTCAGAATGTCGACTCAGAGTCCTGTGCCCAAGTCGAATCTTGTATTTGCAGATTTCACACAGTCAGAAAGTCACCAGTCCTAACCACTGGAACGAGAAGGGATGTCATCAGGAGGGTTAGACTCCATATATCCACCTTCTCCGATGAAAGCCTCCCCAGTACCCTCCCTAGAGATAGAGAGAGGATCGACAGGGTTATCCCAGTGCCACGACACACCCCCCCGCTGGGATAGCGTGTACACCAGGAATTGAACCCCGGATGGCTCTGATACCAAGTCAGAAAGTCACCAGTCCTAACCACTGGGACGAGAAGGGATGTCATCATGAGGGTTAGGTGTTAAAATTATATATTGAGTTATATAATTGTTAGGCTTGGTAGGTTACCGAACTTTAGTGTAGAGGGTACAATCCCCTCCTTGTATGCCTCTCTCTTTCTATTCCAACCCCTTTTCTCTCCTCAACTTTTCTCCTTCCTAAACCTCACGCCACTCCATGGCTCCTCCTAGCTTAACCTCACGCCTTTCCTAGCTTCCTAGCTAAGCTAGCCTTTTTAACATTAGGCTCCATATATCCACATTCCCCGAGGAAAGCCTCCCCAGTACCCTCCCTAGAGATAGAGAGAGGATCGACGGGGTTATCCCAGTGACACGACACACACCAGGGTCTCAGATTCGTTGTATGGAGGTTGATTGCTCAGGCCTGCCCTTATGAGAACCCATTTTTGTTAGCGTAGTTTTTATTTGATTGCCTGAAATTTCAGGCTGAATTTTCCGTAAAGTTGACGAATCACGCCTGGGTTTTGAAACGTGCTATATCAGTGACGATGGCTGCAGTTCGCCGCGTAATCAAAGGAAAAGTTTTGTTCTCAGGAACTGCCGAAACCCCACCAACTTGCTGTATCCACGCAGTTTGTGCTAACGACAAATCACGTCCCTCGCGCGCGCCTGCTCTAGCCTTCCTCGGGCAACCAGCGTGATACAGTACTTGGTCAAAGGACCAGTCACGCTCCTCATAATTGCTCCTAGGTACAGTACCTCGGACTTTTGCATGATTTTGGTCTGACGGCCAATCACAGCCTCACACCTGCTCCGGGTACGGCGAAGCACGTCGAAGGACAATGCGTGTACAGTACAGCAGCAAGGAGTTTGTCTGTGATGGGTCCTTGCAAGTGTGTGATTGGTTGTTGAGGGACTTGTGCTACCCCGCTCAGAGGACTTGACAAAAAGAATCAGGGGAAAGGGGGTGCGGGGAGAATGTCTCTAAAAATGGAAGACTTGCCGATTTTTGTGGGTGTTGGGGGTGTTAGAGGGGTGTCTCTAGAACAGGACTTCAACGATTTTTATGGGCTGCTGGTTGTGCTGGGGGGAACTGTCTCTGGCTGCTAGGACTTAGCCAGATTTTTTAGGTTGCGGGGCGGGGTGTGTGAAAGGACTTGACTCTGGCCGTTGGGGATTTTGACGAAATTTTTGGGTGAGGGCAGGTACCGTATTAGCCCGGATGGAAGACTCATGGGTCTTATCACATACCGTTAGAAAAAAGCCTAGAGTGTCTTATAAATGGGAAAAAACAATATATATGGGGGTCTTATAAACGGAACCATCGTAACCTCACCGGAAAAAACCTCGTGTAGTTACATCAGAGTTCTGTGAACCGTTCTCATATTGAAGATGTCATTAAGGGGCCTATTTTGTTGGCGATAAGAGTTTAGGCTCAGTTGGACACGTGTGAGATGCAGCAAGTGAGGGACGAGGGTGTGTTGGCAGGTATTCTGCAACCCTCATCAACTGTACGTCACGTTTCAACCATCCCAGCCGTTTATCTGGCGTTAGCTCACACAAATCCAGCGGATACGATGGGCTGTCACATGATGCGTCAGCAAAGCGTCCTCAGCGAGGACAGATTCCTCTACGGGGAACCACAAAGTGAATTGTGGCAGTGTTGTCGGAGGTGGGTGGACCCCCTCTTCTGCTCATTTGCATCTCACGTTCTCGAAAAATGCATCAGCCTAGTGTGCCTCTGCCTGCCGTGCCTTAGCCATAAGTGGCTTAGCGAGATGCGTAGCAAGCACCGTCCGCCATGGAGGGAGACTCATGGCGGACGGCGCCCTTCAGCAATTAGTACACCACCAAGGGTGTACGTCAACATTTTTCGCAGAGTTAACTCCCCTGGCGACACCATCAACGGTAATGTCCGGTCTATCCGAAAGGCCTCTGCGAGTCGTTCACCCTGCCGTGATTCCCCCCTCACGGCCTCTAACGACGATGCAGACGATGGGGGCGCCGACGCGGACGGCTCGGCGTGCAACGCCGCTGACGACGAAGACGAATGCATGGCAAGGCCCATCGGATCCGACGATGAAGTAGAAGAATGACACGCGGGCATCAATGCTGGCGGAGGGGATGGTGCCGCTACAGGCGACGAGAACGCCTGCGGGGTGGGTGACGATGCGGCTGACGAGAACGCATGCGGGGTGGGCGACGATGCGGCCGACAAGAACGCGTACTGGGAGGGTGACGATGTGGGCGAGTACCCAAGCGGTGAGGAAGGCAACGATGCGGACTACGACGAGGCTGACGATGCTGCCGACGACACGAGCGACGAATCGGGCGACGCTGCTGACGATGACGATGACTTCGATGCAGTAGCGGTGTCGGCGAGGCGATGTCGTGGCGGGGCAAAGCTGCGGAGCTCGAAGCAGATGGCTGACAAGATGGAACGCGTCGAGTGCGATGCCGCTAACGACGACTCGACCGATGAGGCGGGCGGCATGTCCAACGAGGACATGCCGATCCAGAAACGTCGTGTTCTCTTCGAGGTGCATGGTCGCAAGCGCCAGCAGGACGGTGCTGACAACGACGAACACGGGGGAACAAAGCGAAAGAAACCGACCAAACAGTCCCAAGCAAAGCGTGGACGGCTGTCGAGGGAGGAGAAAGGGAAAGCAAAATCCCAGGAAGAGCACGGCATCGGCAAACGCAAGCGAGCCGCCGGCAACGACATGCGAAAGTCCGCCAAGCGGAACACCAGCCATCCGAAAGGCGATATGGCCGAGGAGAACTCTGACGACGCCTACGCGGAAGCGGCTGGCCCCATCCCCGTGTTCCCCGAAGGCAAGAGGCCCAGTGATCCAAAGACCAAGAACCCCGACGCGCAACCACCCTCGCCGCGTAGTAAAGCCAACAAGAAGCAGCGACGCAGCTTCACGGTCGGCGAGAAGGCGCGGTGGGCGCTGCGGTATCACGAGCTGGGGTCACTCATGCGGACGGCACAAGAAGCGGGCGTCGGACAGTGCTCCATCCGCCGCTGGGTGGAGGCAGATATGAAGGGAAAGTACAAGGGGGCTGCGAAGTGCAGGAAGAGGCTGCATGGTTCTGGCCGGCACGCGCATCACCCCGAGATGGAGGAGGCGCTCGCCAAGTACGTCTGTGAGCAACGGAGTCGGGGCCTGGCGGTCAGCGTCAATGGCATTCGGGAATGGAGCCGAAAGTACATGCGCAGACGCGACCCGCATACCAGGTGGCAGGGGTCGAACCGATGGAGCCAACGGTTTCGCAAGCGGTGGGGATTCACACTACACTGCCGAACGAAGGTTGGGCAGAAGCTCTCTCCAGGTAAGCTTCTTGTGTCCTGTGGGTAAGTGTATGCCTCTGTATCTGCGTTTGTCTCTGTGCTGAGCCTTTGTTCTCTGTCTCTGAATCTGTCTGTTGTGCAAAGTTTCTGTTCACTGTCTCTGCATTCGTCTCTTGTGCAGAGACGTGCCTCTGTCTTGTGTCTATGCGCTTGCTAAGGCCACTCCGCCCCTGCCCCTTCCCGCCCACCACAGAATGCGCCGCGGACTGTGAGGGGTTTTGGAAGTTCGTTCGCATCAACCGTGCCCATCATCAAATGGACTTACGCCGCATAATCAATGCCGATCAAACTCCTCTTTTCATGGAGATGCCTGCTGGCCGGACGTTGGAGCAGAAGGGGTCCATGCCCCCTTCGGTGCCTCTTCGGTGCCGGTGAAGACCGCAGGATACGAGAAGCAACGCTTGACCGTGATGCTAGCATGCACGGCCAGCAGCGACAAGCTCCGGCCGTGGGTATGGTTCAAGCGCAAGACCATACCCAAATGTGTATGTCCCTCGGGTAAGCCTTCCACATCTTGCTCTCCATGCACTCCTGAACCCTCCTATGCTATGAGCGTACGACCTGCTGTTTGACTCACATAAATCCGACTTGTGCGTGCGTTCTGCAGGGGTCGAAGTGCAGGCGCAGGAGAACGGCTGGATGGATGAGGCAGTCATCAAGAAGTGGCTGGAGAAAGAGGTTCTCCCCTTTCTCAGCCTGAAGCGTGGGGCGCCAGCGCGACGTGCCATGCTTGTGCTAGACTCGTACCGTGGCCATCTCGCCGATGGGATGAAGCACGCGTACTGGACGCATTGCATCATCCCTGCCATCATTCCGGCTGGGTGCACTCCCCTGATTCAACCCCTTGATGTTTCCATCAACAGGTGTTTTAAAGCGGGGGTGAGGGCATGCTATGCAAAGTGGTTTGCAAAGTACGGCATCAACCTATGCACGGCCAAAGGTACGCCAGCAGTTCTGATCTCTCCCCGCCCGCATCCCTGAATGCACGCCGCCCGTGACCTTGAATGCACCTTGCCCGCATTTCTGGCTTCTTCCCTGATGTTCTCGCTCGAATCACTTGCCTGTCAAATCCGTGACTGATGCCTGTGCTAGTGCTCCATGAAATCCCTTCTCGAGGAAACCTGCGCCGCCCGCCCCACCCCGTGGTACTGAAGTGGATTGACCAAGCATGGCGCGATGTGCCGTGTGACATCATCATGCGAGCATTCAAGACATGCGGCATTTCAAGCTCCATGGATGGTACAGACAACTACTTGGTGCTCCAGCACATGTGTGGGGAGCCAGCTCTCAACGTCTCTGAAGACATGTCTCTGCAAGGGTCGAGTGGTGACAATGCAGGTTTCGTGGAAGAGCAGGAGGCAGAGGAGGGGGAGGCGGGAGAGGAGGGAGAGGAGGGAGAGGAGGGAGAGGAGGGAGAGGAGGGAGAGGAGGGAGAGGAGGGAGAGGAGGGAGAGGAGGAGGAGGAGGAGGGGGGTGAAGCGGCGGAGCCAGGAGAGGAGGATCCGTACCCAGAGACTAAGAAGTGCCGTGGCGCAGCAGCAGAAGCCGAGAAGCTGACAGAGCAAGAGAGCACTGCGAGGCATGCCTGGGGGGTGCTAGATTACATCAAGCACCCCCCAGGAGGATCAGTAGATGAGGAGGAGGGGGGCTGTGATTTTAGTACTATGGAGACCCATGAGGATTTCTAATAGACTACTCTTGTCCTATCTGCATTGATGACTGAATGCATGGAATTTTGCCATACTAGCAAGATCTTAAAAAAAAGAGGGGGGGGGGGGGAGTCTTATCTCATACCACCCAGTGAGGGTCTTATAAACGGAATGCCATAATACAAGATAGACGCCTACTATAAGACCCAGGGTCTTCTATTACTAGGGGGTCTTCTATCCGGGCTAATATAGGTAGGTATGTCTGTCTCAGGGTCCGTACGCGCTATGCTCAGTATCCACAGACTGCCAAGTCTGAGATTCTCAGGATTCAAAAACATATAACTCTGAAGGGTTCAGCATTCAGAAATTGGCAAGTCTGAAATCAGGGTCGGCAAAAAAGGTCTGAAATTTCAGACAATCAGACTAAAATAATCTGATAAAATCAGGCCTGCCTCCCGCCACCACTGACCATCACAAATGAACGGCTACAATTTTCAGAAGTTACAAGTGCTATGGTCCCTATCTGCTACCTTCTTGTAAGCAATGTAGAACAAACCTACTTCATCAGTAACAGCCATCAGTGTGCATAGCTTCCTTATAAAGGAGCTCTTCCGCTGTCTCCTAAACCTTTTGTGGCCTGAAACGAGACACAAAATGGTACAGAACACATGACACGATCAAAGGAACCAAACCAAGTAGGAACAAACACCCCAATGGAGTCGAACACATGGGGCAGCTTCAGTAATAAACATTTTGGTCTTGATGAACATAAAACAAGCGAAGCAAAAGTGCGCATCACTCCATCAACTTACCAGGTCATGTTAGTGCAGGAGCCTTTCTTCCCCTATAAACACGTCTCTTACTCGTCAATCCAAAGCTGCGTGTCAGCCCCTTGCTGACACCCAAAACCCCGCTGGTACCCAAACCCCCAATTGTGCTACCACCAAGCCCGCCCAGAAACCCCCCACCAAAACCCCCTCCTCCAAAACCCCCACCCCCCCCAACCCTCCTCCCCCTCCTCCTGACTCCCCCCCCGAGGTATCTGCCGGGGGAGCGACGCAGGTCTGGCAGAAGGAGGGGCAGAGGGTGCTGCAGAAGTAGTTTGGGAACTCAAAGGCCGCCCTTGATTTGAGCTCAAGGGAACACGCAGTGCCGTCAGCCGGGCAGGTGAGAGTGCTGTCAACGTTGCTGCGAAGGGGAAAGGGGTGAAAAAGGGGGGAGGGCGATGCGGGTCTGGCAGAAGGAGAGGCAGAGGGTGCTGCAGAAGTAATTTCGGAACTCGCCTGCCGCCCTCGATTTGAGCTCAATTGAGCACGAGGTGCTGTCAGCCGGGCAAGTGAGAGTGCTGTCAGCTAAGCTACCAGGGGAAGATGCGAGGGGAGAAACGTGAACGGGGGGAGACAGGAGGAAACATGAATGGGGGGTGGGGGTTGGGGGGGGGGTCTGGACAGTCGGACAGAGCACTAAAAGCGAACTTGACACTGATGAAGTCGTTGAGTTGTCTCAGAAGAGTGGAAGAGTACAGCCGCTAAGGTATGTCAAAAAGCAGGAGGGAGAGAGAAATTGGGGGGGAGCATCACTCACATCATTGCACTGTAGTCACCAAGGTATGCCGGAAGCTCCCCTGATAAGTTGTTATCTGATAGGCCCCTGAGTCAGAGCCATGTGGAAAAGCAAGTTATGCAAGTGGTAGGCAGGGGAAGAGAGGGGGACATATAAGCAGCTTCCTGATGGGCCCCTCATTCTTGTCCAAGTGAAGGATCAGCTTGGGACGAAGGATGAAGCGAGGGGATTTGGGAAAATGGGCGCCTCAAGTTATTGACACCACTTAATAAAGGAGGAGAATGGAACGAAAGCGATGCCACATACGAATCATGTAGATTCAGATTCCTACTTCCGCCAGTCGAGCAGTGGATTCACAGCAGGGTAACCTACCATTGTGTGCCACACATCGCCAGTCGATGTGTGTGTGTGTGTGTGCGTTTGCGGTGCCTAAAAAAAGGGCTCCTAGAAATTATACAGCAGGGTGTTGTTGCAGTGTGGCTTACAGGAAGGAAAGGGACCAGTTGAAAGCAGCGGGAGGGAGGGCGCCTGACAGGCTGTTGCGACTCAGGTCACTGCAGGCAGGGGAACAAACACCAGAAATGCGATCAGTAGAAGTGCCATATGAAATGAAATACTGCCGAACTGTACTGCCGAACTGTACTGGCGAACTGTACAGGCAAACTGTAATGGCGACCTGTACTGGCGAACTGTACTGGCAAACTGTACTGGCGAACTGTACTGGCAAACTTTACTGGTGAACTGTACTGGCGAACTGTCCTGGCGAACTCTATTTGCAAACTGTACTGGCAAACTGTACTGGCAAACTGTGCACGCTTACATCTCGTAGAGGGATGTGAGCTGTGAAAGGAATGCAGGCAGCGATCCCGAAAGCTGATTCCCTGCAAGATTGCTGCAAGGGAGAGGAGAGGAGAAGGGGGGGAGGAGGGAGAGGAGAGGGGGGAGTGGAGGGAGAGGAGAGGAGGGAGAGGAGAGGAGGAAGAGGAGGGAGAGTAGAGACCGGAGAGGAGAGAAGGGAGAGGAGAGAAGGGAGAGGAGAGGAGAGAGAGGAGAGAAGGGAGAGGAGAGAATGGAGAGGAGAGAAGGGAAAGGAGGGGAGGGAGAGGAGAGGAGGGAGA